AGTGGTCCAACCCCGCTGTAACGTCTAATAACCACAACAATTGGCACAGCAAACTACCTCTATTGGTGCAATAGTGGCACTGGTATCTGGGGGGTAATCGATAGCTATCTAATTGGACTTAAAGCCCTCTCAATGGGAGGGAACTCATGGGTAGCACTGTAATTATAGCCAAATATACATGGCTGGAGTGGTCCTAGATCCTAGAGAAAACCTCTCTCTTAATAGCCACTGTTCTGAACCTAGGGGGCCCTCTGCTGTTTCTTCTTTAACAACACATTCATGACCCTAGCAACTATGAAAGAAATACAGAATATGGAATAGAATTAGAGATCTCAGTTTTTAGGTCAAAGTAGTTTCCAGCCTAAATCTCACTGTTTATCTAGGTGGTCAGGTTAAGAAAATAAAATATCCAATAAAACAATAAAGAAATAATTAAAAAATAAGCTTCTCTTATTCTGAAATTTTTATGCTGATAATTTTACATTGCTTTATTCCATTTTACATGGAAACTGCAGATCTATTTATTTAATCTGTTATGGGTTATGTTCATAATATTTTCCTTGAGTAGTATTTTCCAGCAATTGAAGAAAGATACACATTATATGGGGAGAATTAGGTCACTGACATGAATTTCTCTTATCTTCCCTTCCCCATTTTTCTTCTTTAATAAATATTTATAATACAGGAATACAATTGCACATTTCTGCCAGAGGTACTGAGTTCTGCAAGCCAACTTTGAAATCATTAAGAGAGCTAGGTGTGGAGGCTCACACCTATAATACCAGCACTGTGAAATGGAGGCTCAGAGGATAAAGAGTTCAAGGCCAGGTTCACTACATAGATACATATCAAGTTTGAGGCCAGCCTGGGCTACATGAAACCTTATCTCAAAACATCAAAACAAATAAATAAATTCGCAAAAGATATGCATAACACAAAATTTTCTCTTCTCACAGATGGCAACTGAGGGACTCAAGGAACTTAGGGGTTGCTCCCAGATCATATTGTGCATTTAAAAAGACAGTCAGGGGGTCTGGAGAGATGGCTCAGAGGTTAAAAGCACTTGGCTGCTCTTACAGAGGACCCAGGTTTGAGTCCCAGCACCCACATGGCACCTAACTCCAGTTCCAGGGGATCCAACATCCTCTTCTGACCTCCGTGGGCATTGTATGACACAGGTGCACTTACATACATGCAGGCAATACGCTCACACACAAAAAGTAAAAATAAATAAAATATATATTAAAAAAGAGACAGCATTAAAACCAGGCTTGCTGACTCTGAGTCTCCTGTTCTGACTACATTTCCTATTGCTGGGGCCAGCTACTCTTGCTTTCCTTGGGAGTAAAGTAAGGATAGATTTTCAATGAATAAGGAGAGAAAAATAACCAGTATACAATCTGCGGAAGGTGATGGCACCTTAAGAAAACATTTTCATTCATCTGGTAGATGTGTATTAAGTACTAGCTGCAAATTATCTCCTTAGGTACCACAGATAGGAGAGACAAGAAAGACTTAATAGCTTCTTAACACAAACTGATTAGAGAAACACATCATTTAGCTCTTATAAAAAGCCTAACACATAGTAATTGATGGGTAAAAATTTATCAATCAATAAAAGTAGATAAGAATAATCTCAGTTAAAAAATATAACACCTGTATGCACAGGACTTGAGGAAGAGCAAGCCAGCCAAACCCCAGCATGGATGGACAAGAGACTCAACAAGTCCCACACCTAATTGAGAAGCTATTGGCAACTGATGGCTGCTTGGGAGTCAGGGAGGCAGTTTTCTTCAGGGATGTCATCCATGTTCCTTCCACTAGATGTCCTACACCCATGCACATATAGACAACACAAAGTGGCCTCAGTAGGCTTTTAAAAAAATGAATTGGGAAGGAAATTGGTGGGGGGAGTAGGGGAAGAATTAGAGGGGGGAATTAGGTGTGGATTTGATCAAAATGCCTTATATGAATGTATTAAATTCTCACAAAAAATAAAATAAAAGTTAAAAAAGAAATATATAGACTACTGTTTGCATTCCCCATCTCTTTCAATATTGCCAACAATTTTATAAAGAAAGATTATTATGCATGGAAATGAGATGTACCCACAGTACGCTTCAAGTCATCTAGTAACCTTCACCTGATTTGAAATACTAGTTGGTTAATTCTTAGCCAAAATGCTTCGGAGCAGGACTGCTTTAGACTTCAGGGTTTTTTGTTGTTTTTTTTTTTTTAACTTTGGAATATTTGTATTTCTACAATGAGATATTTTGGGTATGGGATCCAAATCTAGATCTAAAATTTGTAGGACCCTGAGACCCTCTTCATTCACCTGCTACCCCCCAATCCCTCCAGACCCCGACTAATTGCTCTTTTATCTTCTGTAAAATGCTTGGCTGCTGCTTTAGACATGCCTAGACATGCCCTGGCATGCCCTGACCCCCGCCTGCTATTCCTCCCCCCTTCCAGGAAACTATAAGATTCAGCAAACCCTGGCAGAAAAACTGCCCTATAAGGTAAAAGCGGAGACTCCTGGCCCCACAGATAACAGCACATTCCACAGCCCTGAGAATAGCACCTACCAATAAGAAACTTCCAGGGCTGCATCTTATACATCCAATCAGT